TTTTCTGCCCTCCGGCCGGAAAGTGGCAACTTTCTGGCCGCTGCGCTAAACAAAGTTGCCACATTCCGGCTACGTCGAGCAGAAAAATAGTATACACACCTTGGCCAGTAAAAAGTAAAGCCTCAGACCACATGTTTGTCAACCTCGGCTTCGCCTCGGCCAACAATTACATGTGGTCTGAGACTTTTCTTATTTTACTGGCCTAGGTATGTAATATACTATTTTCATTTTTTTTTTTATGTTAGTTTGAAAAATGCCTAAAATTTAGGCTTCTAGACCAGAATACCCCCTTAAGAAATTAACCCCACAAAAGATAATGCGGGGGCGTTAAGAAATTAAACTTTTCATTTACAGCTCCAACAGAATTAAAATTTTAAACCTAACTAAGTATGAATTTAATGAAATACCATCCACAGAGGGCAGTGAGGGGGTATTGAAAGATCAAAAAAATTAAATAGATACCATTACTACGTATATATTGATAATGGATAATTAATAAATTAGATAAAAAATTTTGTTCACTACGAACCGATCATGTATACGATTGGTATTACTTGTAGTTATAACAAACTCTGCTCTTCAAGTAAGTATTTTAGGTAAACGGGTATTGAATTAGTCTTTCAAGCGTCAGGTCCACGGTTCGATTTCCACACGCGCTGATTTTTTTTTTCTATGGAACTAATTATTTATAATTATACCTAATCCCTACAATAAAAATACATGACAGTTTGAAGTTAGTCAATAGTCGAAAAAATGGGACCTGATTCCTTATTGGTAGAATATAAACCCTCCTCAGTTACTATTGGTCAATCTCCTGGTACGTGAACATATCAATATATCGATATAAATCGAACAGGATAAATTCATTCTAGAATTCCGATAGGGAGCGCGCGAATGCGCGCCGTTAAAAATTCTAGTAAAATATATTCTTGAGTTAAGTAAATTTTTTTTTTGTTTTGGTCAATCTTGGTTTAAGCAAATATTCCCTAGTTCCAACATGCTTACCAACTTAGTTGAAGAAAAAAACCTCTTAATCCAAGTAAATCATTCTCTTGGTTTTTGAACTTGCTTGACGTACACACGGGCGCATCGTGGCCCGAGTAGGACAGTAGCCGCTCGGAAACCCATTTTCAACATTAAATAAAAATTATTGTTTTTGGAGCTAGAGTTTCGGGAGTTGAGACTTTTTTTCAGAAATTTCCTCCTCTTTAAGGATCTTTTTTCTGATTGTCAATATCACTTATAGTTATTGAGTTATTAACGCAACAAATTTCTAACCATGTACTTTGTATGAGTCGAGCAAATACTTGTACATACAAATATTTTCGTCACTACACACTTAACTGTAAATCAGTAATATAATGGGAAATCAGCAAGTTAAAAATTAATCAAAAATGTCTAATTAAATGAACAAAAAAAATAAAAATCATGCATAAGGTTATTTTTTTAAATTTAATTCTTTATTAAAAAAATCTCGGTTTAGTTCCAAAAAATCACGTCGCCAACGTTGGCGCTACTTTCCAAACCAAGAGAAAGATTTACTTGAGATAAGTATATGACATTATTAGTTCAAGAATAAACAAGAACTTGAAACAAGAAGTAAATTTTGAAGAAAATGATTTTCTTGAGTCAAGATGACTTTTTTTTTTTGTGTACAAGATTAAACTTTTCGAGTTATTCTATGTGCAACAATTTGATAAACAAATCTTCTATCTAGTGTTTAAACTTTAAACTCAAACTGAAAAATAAGTGGATATGAATTTAAAACTATTCTGGATCATTAAAATCGTTCTGAAAAATCGTTTTTATCCATAATATGTAAATTTTTATTTGAAATCATAGTTATAGGTATTGTCACTGTAATTTAAAATTTTAGAAAATCTCAGTTGCTTTCTTGACTTGTACAGAATTTATTTTTCATAATCTTACATGCGAATGTATACAAACAAATATTCTCATCTTGCTGTCGAATATGATAAATAATATTACATATAGTTGAAGATTATTATATAAAAATACATCATAGCTTCATATTATACTTTTATGTCTAATCGTATAAAAGTATGTGTTATGATTGTATAATTCAAAGATCACAAAAGACCACTTTTGACATGATTATGGATTATTAATAGTAAAATAAAAAAATGTATCAAGCAAACGATAAACGTCATTATTTTTTATATACTTATAAAAATATGTTGTTGTTTAATTGTCTGAGGCGAATAAAAAATGCACTAAGTATTAGTGAGCAAGACAATTCCAATATCATTAAATTATAATCAGTGCCATAGGTCAATTTTATGAGATACCGTTCTGTTTTAAACTTGCAGTATGAATCGTGATCTTTGAGTCAGATGTATGTATTTTTTTTATTCCCAATCAGTTCTTTCGTTTCGTAAAGCTGAAAAGTGGTTTGATATTATATTGAGTATATGTGTACATGTTTGAGATTAACCGTAAAAATTAAGGTTTGTAAAATAATTTATCAAACGATATTTTTTTAGAAAAAAAAATCGTTAAACTTGGTTAATTTACAAGAAGTATATAATTGACAATATATTTTGAAGATGGAAATTATTATTATTTTTTTTTTTCCAGAATTTTGATTAATAGATTTTTTACTCAATCCAATTACTCAGTGGATCAATTTATCCAATAGAATACATTCAAAAATATCGTTCGTAAGAAAAAACCATTATCAAAATTTTGTATCTAGATATCACTAAAGTTCATTTCTGACCCTGCAGACTAGTCCTTAAAAACTTTTGCTGATTCGAATCGTGTGCTAAAATATAATTGCACATATATTTAAAGATCTAGCAATATGATATCACTAAATTGTTATCATGTTTAAACAGAATAATAATATTTGATTTCGTTGATTTTGAACTTAGGTACTTTTATCCACTCGGTGCATTTTCTGAGAACTTTTATAAAATTTACCTAAATTATGATTTTAATAATTCTGTACCGAACGGTCAAAAAATAAAATAGCTTATGAACAAGACATTTTTGAAAACATTTAATTTCAAAGTTTTAGTTTTTGGAACTCTTATACATCCTAATATACGGGATAACAAAAAGTTCACTTGCATATTTAATTATAACTAAAAAATCCTTCTTGAGATTACTATAAAAAACACTAACATTGAAAAATTGTTAACTATTACATTTTTTAGAAAAAGTTTAGTTAATAGTGACAACGTGCTTTCTAAAATAATATTTATGGAAGTAGCTGAACGTACGACATATATGTCAAGGAGTAAAAAAAAACAGCCCTCATTACTGTTTATTCAGTACTCAATAGTGTTTTGGGAAAAAATAAAGTTAAAAAGGTTATAGGACAGCACAGGGCGCTATGTAAAAACTACTAGCTGCTGTCTGCACTTTACTGAGTCGTGCGCTAGCTCTAACCAGTTCTGTGTTACACAATACTCTGCACGGAAAGAAAATTATACGAAAAATTACGATATGAGTATCGTAATCCAGGATCCGTCTTACAATGGGCTCGTTCAACTCGTTCAAGCTTACTAAGTTCTCAGCTGAACTGAGCTCAGATTATTAGCATACCTAGTAGTATTTTCTTATAGATATTCTTTAGAGAGAATATAGTCATATATTATATGAAATAAAGTGAAAATCGCATTTGTTTTAACCGAGATTCGAACCCAAGCCATGCGCTTGCCAGACCGATAACTAACCCCTACGCCGTACGATCGATAAATTGATGCACATCTCATCATTCTTATAAACTAAATCTATATGGTGACGAAGTGTGACGGTTTATTATTTATATAATTTATATTATTTAATATTGTGTTTTGATGAAAATTTACTATTTTTTACAAATGTTCATTAGTTAAAAAAATGCAAGAGTCAAGTTCTTACATTACTTGAGACTTTGTACATCATTCTGTATATTTTTAATCTCTTATTATAAATTTTAATATTTAAAATGATCAATATTAAAAGTTCATCTGTAAATTATTATATTTTAATTTTTTTAAGACTATATCAGTTTTGACGATATGCAAATGTTCGTTCAGCAATAAATATTTACTATTCAAAATTCTATTACTTAATGATTATTTAAGTTTGGATTTCTCATTGAATGGCTAAGGTTAGTTACCCAATTCTGACTCAAATCTAAGTTGCCATTCAACGGCCATGGCTAGGCTTCCCAGTCTTGGCTAATGCCAAGTGTATTGTAAATAAAAATAATGAATTTTAATAACGAATAAATAATGAAAATTTAACCATGATATATTTTAGTTAGTTTTCCAAAAAAATGGTTACAATAAAAAAGCTTCAACGACGTCATTCAAACTTTCATATGGAATCTGTGTCAAGAATTTCTAGCTTACCGATTATTGAATCAAGTATAAAGATAGCTAATAATGTTTATCACAAAATCAAGGTAATAACATTTTAAGTACAATATTATTACTAATATTATTCGACATGTTTAATATTTTTCGATAGTTTCTCCCACTTTAGTTAATTAAAAAAAAAAAAAAATACAATAGTAGCTCACAGTTAATCGAGAGAATTTTAGTATCACCAAAAGATTTTTTTAATATTATTCTTCAAAGGACAACTCAGATTTTTTTTTTTCACCATAAGATTAAGATGTATGGACAAAAAAATAAAAAGATCTTATTCGAATCAATATTTATTTTTAAATAATATACACTGACTTTGATTTCTGATATTTTTCGAAGAATTTTATTGGAAATTCGGGACGATACTAATTATTCTAAATTCTCTATTTAATTAACCCCAGGTTTCCTTAAATTAACTTATTCTTATCATTCAATCCATCTACAGCGTTCTAATTCCTTAATAAATTGGAGTCTTAATACTGCTGAACATTCTTTCGTAATTGCGACTGCATCAGTTCAACCAGCGATACAAATGTTAAATAAGCCGATTTTTTCAATTGATCGTCTTCTGTGTCAAAGTATTGACATTGTTGAAGAACGGATTCCAAACATCTGTTTACCACCAGAACTTGTAAGCATAATAGTATTACTGTATTCTTTTCAATAAAATTAATATTAATATTTACTAGGGCAGTTCAAAAAAAATTTTTTTATTTTTAACTTTCCGCTATGAAAATCAATGATACACATTATATTTTCAAAAAATCAAACCTAGGTTCATCGTTATTTTTTAAAAATTGTTAAGTGATTACCCTTTTGATTTTTTTTTTTTAATATATACTAAACTTTCACATTTTCTGCAAATCCTCGAATCTTTTTAGAGAGGTATTTTCTCGACTTTATTTTTTTCCAATTGAAAAAAAAATTCTTTTTAATTTTGATTTAGTCCTTATAAACTCCCTCTGAAAATTTTTTAGGATGTTTGAACAGCTTTAAAATTGAGAAAGAATGAAAATTAAAAGTTTCAATCAAAAAAATTTTAATTTTTTTCTAAAAAGGAAGAAAAAAATAGAAGACAGTCTTGTATTAAAAAAGCTATTTTTTCAAAAATTCTTAACTTGTTTTTTGATAAAAAAAATTGCCCATTTTCAGCGCGGTGTATTTAAAAATAAATAACGATAGTAATATTATAATGATTTTTAATAGTATGAACAATAATGATTAATCAATTATTTATGAAAATTCTGCATACTGAATAAATGTGAGGGTTTTATCGAGTGCACATTCCCAATTTCATGGTTGTGGTTTAATGTAGATTTAGTCCAGAGTATTGTTACGAGTACGAGATTATTGCGAAAAAATTTAATGAAATATTGGAACTTGAGAGTAATTTAGTATTTTTGCAAGTTTTTCTTTCTCAATTAGTGCCTTTTAGCAAACAATCATTAATATAAACGCTTTAAGTAAAATATTATTTTCACAGTAGAAATCTTAATAAATATCTTAGGCGTCCATAAATTACGTGAGGTGTTTAAGGGGGGGAGGGGGTCGAGTCAAATCTCATCTAATCTTACGTTGGAGAGAGGGGGGGTCTTGGCAAATATCACGCAATTTTTTTTCTGGTTGAAACAAAAAAAAAATTAGAGAAACGGTTCACCCTAAAAGCCATCCGTGCAACTTCCCGCTAATTCCATTTCTGGGCGCTTAAAATTGTACTTATGACATTTTTGAGATTTTTAAGCTCAAGATATAATTTATGTGGTATTTTGAGCTCGCTGAGTTCAAAGAAATAATATTTCTATGCATTTGAGCTCTCCCAGCTCAAAAGTCTGATAGAAGTTTCATAGAACTAGAACACTATTTTTGGAATTTTCAAACCGCAATAACTTTTGAATGGATCAACTAATTTTCACGTGGTTGGCGCCATTCGACGCAGTTTTATCATCCTCATAAGTTATTTTCAGGTTTTAATTGATCGAACCGAAAATTTCGGAGTAATCCCGAAAAAACACTTTTTTCGGTTTTCATTTGTTCACGCTATCTCTCGAACGAATCAACCGATTTTGACCGGATTATCGCCGATTGGCGTAGTTTTTCAAGCTTAAGGGCGGATTAGTTTTTGAAGTTGATTGATCGAGCCGTTTAAAAGATATTCCAAAAAAACCACTTTCAAAAATGATTTTTTTCTTATTTTTTTTTCAGATTTTTCAAAATTTCTCAAAATCTATCGGTCCGAATCGATTTAAATTAACAGGGAATCTAAGTTTGGCGAAGCCCTTTCGAATGGCACCAACCGCGATAAAATCGGTTCTACCGTTCAAAAGTTATGATTCACATACTTACGCACACACACACATACATACAGACATAGTCACACACACACAACACACTCACCGTGACAACCTCGCGGGGATAGTCAGGGAAGCTTCCTGTGACCTTTAAACGTCGAGATCTGATGAAAACTTGATTTTTGCAAAACGGGGTGAAAACAATAACTTCCCGATTTTTGAAAATCTTCGATTTTCTTAGCGGGAAGTTAAAAATAGTTAAATACAAAAATTAATTTGGCTCTTTTAAATCAGCTGCTAGTAACCTGTCCGTGATTTGGCAACGCTATATTTCGGTTGTTTACATTTTCATTTGCACAATATAACCTTAACCATGTTAAAGTTTTTGCAGTTAATGCAAATGAATAAATTAATTAAAAATGTTAAATCACGAAACTATAACATTCTTATGTCTCATGGCAGGAATGCTAGTATTTTTTAATTATTGTTTTATTTTTCAATTATGAAATGTGAAAATTTGTCAACAATAAATTAACTTATAAGTATGTATGAAAAACATAAGTGCATTGAAGTTTAATTTGAATTTATTTTTTTTTCTTTTTACAATAACAATCCAACGCGTTTACGTAAGAAACCCACATTTTAAAAAATCTCACGTGAGATTGGGGGATGGGGGAGGGGGTTGAATAAAATCTCACGACATCTCACCAGGAGGGGAGGGAGGGACAGAAAATTAAAAAAAACACCTCACGTAATTTATGGACGCCCCCTTATATATATGTGAAAAAAAAAATAAAAAAAAAATTAACAAAAAAAAACTAAAATATTAATTTAAAAGTTATCTGATTTCAAAAAATGCAAATTTTTTCCAAATATTTTTATTTTTACTGTACCTTCGTCTCCCCCTCTTCAACTTAATTTTTTAATATAAATTTTTTTATTAATAAATAAAATTTCATTGTTCAGTTTATTTCTTGAGTATTAACTTTATCCATCTTATATATTGTTGTTGTTGTTTTTTATTCTAGATGTACTCGAACACGCGAGAATTCATGAATAATAAATTTGTCAAGCCAGTACTGAAACGAGCCGGAAGTGTAAAACAAATAGGTAGTCAAGCTGCGAACATAGCTGCTGATAAATTGGATGATGCTCTAACTGTTGTCGATGGATACGTTGATCGTTATTTACCAGAGGTTCTTGTGGATAATACAAATGAAAGTAAGACTACAGATAATTTATTTATATGATCAATATTAAATTGTTTTGTATTTTGTATTAAAACTCCATATTATCGTTTCACAATATCTTTTAAACAATAATATCAATTTCCTTTCTTTTTTTTTTTGACCACCAAGAAAATAAAATAGATGCAAAGCCGAGTGCAATAACAACGAGTAAAACAGCTCGTACAATTCAGCATGGTGCTAGATTTTCTCGTAAGCTTCAGAAACGACTTACTTATCGAACTATAGCCGAAGTCCAAGCACTTAAAAACCAAGGAGTCCAGTGTGTACATATATGCACAATTTATGCATGATAATGCCTGATTCATGCTTGGTCAAGCACGACCATGCATACTAATTTTTTCTCGGATTTTAATATTATTATTAACGGAGAAAATGGATTCAATGAGATTGAGTAAAACTTACTACATGAAATGTAAATTTTGCTGCGTAGGGTCAAACTGTAATTTGATGAAGCGCTGAGTTAATATTAAATCTAACAAAATATAACGATTTCTTACTTTTTTTAAACAATTCTTATTGTGTTCATTGTTTTATCATGAAAAATAGGTCACTTTATTCATTTAAGTTGGACTTATTAGGAAATTATGAAATCGATCTGTAAAGCAATGTGAATTTCTGTTTTTTTGTAATGGTTTAAATTTTTGTTCACAGTTGGTGATCATGATTTTTTCAAATTGGACAAAGACACAAGAAATTTAACAATAACAAAAGCATTGGATCGTGAAACGCAAGACATTATGTCAATTCTTATTATTGCAACACCAAACAGTGAAGGTCCTCCAAGAGACCCTCGAAAAGAAGCTACTCTCAATATTACAATTATCGTGGTCGATGAAAATGACAACGCACCATCTTTTGAAATAGATTTTTATTCTGGAGGTATTGCAACGAGTGATCCAGTCGATAAGACGATTTTAATCATCAAAGTATGTGAATTGGTTTTTATTTGAAGGACCATCTACAAAATATTTTTTATGAATAGAAAGCAATTGTTATGAGAAAAGTTCACTCGGGTAGTGGTAAATGTGGAAATATTCTTAAACTGCGTTGATCAGTATAATAAAAACGAAACTGCGAGCTTTAATGTCTATTGAGCCACCCGAACAATCGCCAATTTCAGACAACTGTGACTGTTTTTTCCTGTAAGCAAAAACCTATGGTTTTCTGCTCGCTGAATGTAGTTGCAACCCTGTATTCAATTCTGTCAAAGTATCTTTTGATTATTTCAAACCTTTCTAACTGTCACTTTTTATTCGCTGCTAGTCTGAAATTCTCTAGTTTTGGTTTACTCCAGACATTAAAAATCGCACTTTCGATGCAGATTATATGAAAAATATATTGTGTGACTAAGGATGAAACAAGAGACAAGACGATTTCAGGTTTTGAGTGGTTGCCAGCCCTCACTTGCTCAGGTTGTTACTATATATTCTAGAGTTTCTTTTTTTTTTTCAAAATAATGATTGGTGTAAGTTAACAATTGTATTCTGGTACTTAGCTTTGACTTTATTTTTCTACATTTTTAGGTTTTTTAGTAAAAAATATTGCTCTTATTGAATATCGCCAAGAAATCGTGTTATTTATATAACACCTACTTCTCGAAATGAAGTAAAAAATTCTATTCTCCTAGGAAAAAATGTCAAGACATGACCATGCTTGTTCATGTCTATTCATGTCTTATCCAATCTATAAGATTTAAAACGTCCAGTTCTAATTAGGACCCTTGTATTGGATCATGTCTTACTCACCATATTATGAATTGATTCAAACAAATTCATTCATGACCATGCCTGTTCGTGTATGGCCAAGCCTGATTGTATTTGGTTTTTTGTTTTTTTAAATGAACAACATAATATATTTGTCAATTATCGTGCGGAGCAGAAAACTTTTTTTCCGGTGGAGTTTGAAAATTCAAAAAATACTGTTTCATTATTAAACTTCTATCAGGCTTTCGAGCTCGAAGAGCTCAAAAGCTTAGAACAGCTAACGCTATGAGCTCGAAGAGCTCAAAAACGTCATAAATGCAATTTTAAGCGCTTAGGTATGGAATTAGCGGGAAGTTGCAGGGATGGCCGTTAGGGTCAACCGTTTTCCAGATTTTTATTAAATATTTTACATAAACGACCGTTTTGTAAACTAGAGTACTCGTTAGTAAATATGTTTCCGTCGCTCCTGGGAATACCCGAGAAAAAATGTTTCTATATAATCATATATAATTGTATATGATCATCTATGATTATATATGGAATCACATATATAATTATATAGAATTATATATAATCATATATAATTATATATAATCATACATGATTATATATGGAATTGTGTATGAGGTTATATATAATTATATATAATTATATATGACTATATATGGAGCGATATACAACCATGCAGGATTATATATAGTTCCATATACAAATATATATACGTATATAAAATTATTTATAATCATACATGATTATATATGAAATTGTATATGAAGTTATATATAATCATATATAATTATATATAATCATACATGATTATATATGGAATTGTATATGAGGTCATATATAATAATCATATATAATTATATATGACTATATATGGAGCAATATACAGCTATGCAAGATTGTACATAGTCCCATATATAATTATATATGCTTATATATAATTAACATACATAAAAATTTTTTCTTTGAAAAAAAAATTTTTTTTGGTAATCACAAAAAGTGTAAAATGATGTTTATAATTACGTTTAAATAATTCTGAAATACAAAATTTGTCACATTTCCTATGAGATGTTTTGTCTGCTCTGCTTCTACGTAATAGTGAAATCATTATTTATTTTATTATTTAAATAAGTGTTATATTATAATGAAATTCGGTAAGATAAATAAATTATGAATTATGACTATCCAAATATATTATAAAATCAATTTTTATATTATATTTATGATAAACTCATATGATACATTAAGTAGATCATAGAATCATTATTGTCTAAGACAGCAGCACAGCAGACAGAAACTTCAAGACGCACGGAGATCACCAAAGTTAAGCAGCATTGCGTAGGATTAATAGTTGGATGGGTGACCGCTGATGTTATAGCCATAAAATTAGATCTAGATATTTTTTTGCATTTTGATTAGTTACACAGAATTGCGTAGGACCATATTAAATACTCTATCCATAAAATTAACCCAATAATTAATTAGATGTAATAAATCTATAATTAAATATTGTTATATATAATTATATATAGTTATATATAATTATACATAATTATATATAATTAGATATGATTATATTTGGCCATTTTTCATATATAATCATATATAACCAATTTATATATAAATATATATAATTATATATAAATATTTTTTTCTCGGGTAACTGAATGAAATTTCTGAGTTCCTGTAATGGTCTTAGCAGTATTGTTTTGCAAATCTAATCTTTTTTTTGCCTAAATATAGTCTCTTTCAGGTGAAAATTTGACAACAATATTTGGTAGACTTGTTGGTTTCAACGCCCAGTTGTACAACTCTTTTACTGTGGTTATTTGGTCATAAAGTGGTCGTTGAAGGCTTACTCTTGTACTTTTCTTTTTATCGTTCCTCCAATATCATCACATGGCCCTTTACCATGTGCTGTTGCGAAAAAATGCCTCTCAGGATCTACGTTAAAGTTTTTTTTGTGGTAATAAATATTAACAAAATTACTTTGTTATGTAAAAATATTTAATTTAGGGTAATTAATTAATTTTACATTTAAAATATTTAATGTGTATAAGTATTTGGTCCTAGCGTGTTAGGCTAATAGACCGGGAACTTCCGAGTTTTAATTTATTGAGAATGATAGGTTTGTTTGAATGAATTGATGTAGCTGAATAATTTTAATAAATATATTGTTTAAATCCGAAAATAATATTATTAGTTAAATTTATAATTATTACAATTATTACACAGTGATTGAAGTTAACTTTTCTTTCATATAACGATTTTACAAAATTACTAAATTCACAAATATTAATAATTTAAAATATACCTGATATAAAATTGATGAACCTTGTTGATTTAATTTGTTTTAGTTGGTTTTACTTCACCTTTACAAATGTTTTATTTTCTATACAAAAGATTTACACGTGGTCTATTGAGACTTATTAAAACTATGTACGATGTTAACACTAGGACGTCAGGACAACGAGAGAGATTTTTTGGTGACAATTGCGAGGTTTCGAATTTTAGGGCGTTACTAATTTTCACTCATTGGGGAAAACAAATGTCCAATTATTTGTCTATTTTCTTGGGCCCTTACTCTCTCTCTTAAATTTGTCTACAAATGTTGCGTGATGAGTCCCTCTACTTGGGTCAGAGTGTAGCATGTTTTCTCACTTACTCTTATGTTCTATTATTCATCTATATGTTTGTGTATACGTAAGCGTATGTATACAAAGACATACATTTGTACTGTCTACATTAATTTATTTATTTAAATCGTATGAATAAATATGTACTTGAATCTAACATCTCTTACGTTTTCTTGAATTTAATTATTTATTTGTAGAAATATTTCTGTTTGTCGTTTTATAAATTTGTTGTATTATTTTAGAATTTAATTGTTTAAAATTTGTTTATTTTAAATTATTTAACTTTCAAGTTCTATTTTTTTATTTGTTTCTTATTTCATATTTAATTTTTGTTGTCTAAAAATTATTTCAGAAAGTGTATTATTAAAATTTATTTCGATATTTGTCTCAACACTAAAATTCTGTAATTAAGTTATTCTAAAATCTTTTGGTTTAAAATAAATCTTTTATCTACTGTTCTTTATCATTACTTAAGTATTTCTTATTTTAAGTATAAGTGAGTTTGCTTACGTATAACAAAACTCCCATTCATCTATTGAATCTCTTTAATATACCTGGGCTCCAGACTAATTACGGAAATTCCCCTGGGCCTTTTGCAAAAATCGAACGAGACACTTAATGACCGCACTCGAATTATCTTTTACAATCGTTAAAATTTGAATAAAATCATACTCGATTTTTTTTAATTAATAAATATGTAAAGAAAAATTTCATTACATAACAACTTCGAAATTCCTAGTTCGATCAATTCAAACTTAAAGATTTTTTATGGGGCTTAAAAAAATACGTCAAATGCCGCCAACATCGTGAAAATCAGTTAATTGTATTTCTGAGCTTAAATAATGTATTTAAGCTTAATTGTATTAAGCTTAAATACATTAACTCCTTAAGCTTCAATAGCTTGTTGACAGCTTAAATATATTAAATGACAGCTTAAATAACAAA